CTGCGCAGCTTCGAATAGCCATATTTTCGTGTAAAAATTAATTAATCATAAATACCTAATTTCTCATAACTTCTAGTTAACTATTTATCTTATCGTTTTCTGTACAACCGAGTATAATCACAGATTGGCAGCAGGAATCGAGCAAACTTGTAACAAAATCTAATGTCCAGTATATCGAGGTTTTAAATCGAATACAATTTGATGTAAAAATAATTATAAAAATAGAAAATAGACACGCTAAAATCATTTTCGTAATCATTTAAATAGCATATTTGACCTAATTATCGATACGAATTTTTTAAATATTTCTTGGCTGAGGTTCGTTATTCACGCTGCATGTTAAAATGCTTATAAAAGTTCTTGTTATTCTACAACTCCAAATTGTCCAAAATGCACTCAAATTTGAGTTTGAAACCGAATTACAATTTCAAATATACCCGACCCTGCGAACAGCGACGTACGTCTCGTGCGAATGCACACGAAGAATACGCACAACTAGGCAAGCAATTGTCCCGGAGATCTTCGAGATTTCTTCGAGAAATTTGTTAGAAAAGCTGCTTACCTGACGTCGAAATAATGGCCGACCCCAATTTACTTTTACGGCTCGTAAGAAATTCTGCCGTCTCCTTGACGTTCGCTTGTTTTAAAGTAGCACAGCCCTCGTTTAAACTTTTTTCCTGCACCTAAAACGAGACAAATGTATACTCTATGTACTCTATGTACAGTTACGATATATATCTTTTAAACAAATATGTTCTGAGATGTAACACATGATATACAAACAATAACGCACACATTATTTTAATATCCGTTTATCTTGGTCAAAAGTGAACAGGAATAACGCACGGTGCAAAGATGCTATCGCCATCTTGTCGACTTGCGGTTTGACAAATTAGAAATGCAAGCATATACGTTAACGTATCTTCGAACTCTGGCCAATCAGCGACGCGCATTTCAAAATAACGTTAAACTACGAGTCAGTTGAGAAACAGCCGCCGAAATGGCAGTAAGCGGGCGCACTCGCGGCGAGATATTTTATTCGAAATAATACGGAAAAACCGACGTGCGAACATCAGAAATACGCGCGGGGGAACGGAGTGATTGGGAAAATCGCGATTGTGAAGCCTGTGATAACAGTCGCGGCACGATTCGTGATTAGTGACGGAGATAAAGCGAATCGAAGCAAGAGCGTCGTTTTTTTTCCGAGAAGGAGCAATAGCAATGGAGCATGTCCGGAATGCGGATGACGCAGGAACACTTCTCGGAAATAGTGTCGAGGTACGTGTCGTGCGACAGCGATACTTATGCTCGAAATTCGTCCTTTCGTCGGGGAACATCACGTATGCGTACGAAAAGATTGCGACGCTTTACGATCTCATGAGCATCTAGGGGCGAAAATCGTCTGACCGTTCGGGCGATTTTGGTCCCTCGAGACATATCAGAAAGAAGCATTTCTCTATTTTCTCGTTGACTATGCACACATGTGAATTGCAACGTTTCATCAACATTAACTGCCCAAATGACCGTGAAAAAGCAAAACATTGATATTTTCTTGACATATATTCGATATTTGACCAATTTTGTCGATGTATATTTTCACAGTCGATCCCATACAGTACAAGACGTTTCAAAATCATCCAGAGTGTATTGTTTTAAGGAATGTTTCTATGACGTCCCGAGTACACTTGGGATGATCTCAGGACGTTCGTGCTGTCTGGCACGCGATCAATCCAAATATGTTTTCATGTTTACTCACTTCTCTACTTACGACTCATTTCTCGTGTATGATGCACTCAATCAGGGTAAATTTGACAAGCAAATCTAGCACAGCGCTCAAGTGTACAACTTGGTGCCGTTATCGTGTACAACTGAGCTCTTATTCCATGTAGAACTCTTCCTCGCCGTTCATCGATACATAATATTCCTCTTCGGACTCGTCGATAAGTATTATCGACATGGTGTGCGCTGTTAAGCAATATTCGGTCGATAAGTGGGATGTTGTTTTCTCCCTTACGGTAAATACTCAGAAGCACATTATATTCAGTTTCATTCAATCGACGTTTTCATCGCGTAATTGAAAACATAATATGCGGTAGTTTTTTTCTCTTTTGACACGGTTGTATAATGCGAACATGCAAATGTTATGCCAAATACTGTCCAGTGTCATCGAGTAAATAATGCATTAATGCAATCAACTAAAAATGGAGATTGCGACTGAATATAATTGGGATATAATATTTTATTCGTGGTAAAAGCAGACGAGATGTTTGGTTGTCTTGTTCGTAACGTATGGCGCGTTAAGCGAAATTTATCAAAATTCTTCTCGTCCGCGCGGAGGTTTTTCCTTTTCTGGCAAATCTGATGGTAGCGTTGCTTCAAATGCCTGCCATGTTCATTCAAAGACGATTGCGATCTTTACGATTGCATTGATTGCCTTTCTCGAGGGTCAAGGTTTCACTTGCGTTGGCATCAGAGTTGCATACTTAGAATTAATTGCGTTCAACTTTCCATTCTGACTTTACCTTCAAACAATCGGCACCGACAAGCGTACAAATATAGTGCTACAAAATAATCAATAAGTGACTTAACCCAGACAACATAACGTCTAAAATCGGGACATAAGACGTCTTACTTACATATGTTTTTAAGACGTCTTAAAAATGTCTTTCAAATATCCCGATTTTAGACGATGTGTTGCCTGGGAACTTTTAGGCCTGTATTTATAATCATTACTTGAAACTTGCATCGTGCGAGATGTTCAGATCTGAATTTAGATCTGAATTTGTCAATTAAATCATGTGATATAGTCAGTCACAAAAAGATTCCGACACTCTTTGCATAAATTTCGGAACACATCCTGTTTGTGACTGACTATACACACATGACGCGACAGTTATAATCGTGATTCAATTAAAAAACTCAGATCTAATCCTAAACTCAAATTTGAGAGTCTCTCGTAAAACAAAATTTTATATAGTGACCATAAAGATTTGAATCGTCGAGAAATGCAATTTAGATCGAATCCACAGTCGTCATACATCGCTTCGCCGATGCGAAGAGATACACGCTTCGAGATGAAACGTTACTCGCGTGCTAACGTTGAACATGATACGTATATACTCGGTCGCTAGAGACATTGACATTTGCATTCAACCGCTTGGGTCATTGCCGTCCGAGTATCTATTGAAATACATCTGATTAACTTACGCGCTTGAATGAATACATGCGAGCGCACGTGCGTGCGCGGAAAGTAGAAAGCATCAAAACGGACAACGCGGGCAAAACTATAAACGCCGGACAGATATAGATGCTACATACGTAAAGTACTATTCCGACTTCCGTGAGCGGGCTGGAAGGGATTGTAATTTTCTATGCATCGTTTACGAACTTTCGAGCAGGATGCGTGCTCGAAACGCCGGAGATGTATCCGACAATTGCGTGCATCGAATCGTCCCGATCAATGTTTTACCGATTCACTCCTTTGACTTCGTAGTCCACCTATCTGGTATTGGTCGTTATGCGCGTCCGTTAGAAAAGAGGTATTACCTTGGAATCGCGAATTATAGGACGTTGGAAACAGAAGTTGTTATTAGGACATATACATGTAGGCAGAATATGGCAACAAATTATCGGTATAAAAATATAATATATTTTAGGCTTAGACGTCAAGTTTTCAAACTTCAACTTAAATTAATCGTACATTGAGAAGTAACGTCAAAAATCGTTTCTATATACGTAAGATTAATTAAAGTGTGGAAATCCGTGGAAATTGGACTGTAGTGAAATGACTATAGTGAAATGAACTACGACACTTTCCACGGTAAAAGTTGCAATCAGTGGGAAATACAAATTCTCACGTTAGATTTGTTATACTTAAGGGAACGACGAAAAACTTTCTTTTCCACGTAGCACCATTGTTATTCAGGCGAGGCACCCGGTTTACGTCGTATGCAAAATACGACTAAAATATCCTTTCGTTGGTCACGAATTTCAATAGGTTCAACTCGAAATTCCTGTAAGAGTATTTGTAGATGTCGGCGGAAAATCGAACTAGGCTGGAATAAGTTACTTCTGCTGATCGATTAGCCGAGTGTCGCGAATAATTAATATTTAACATGTACCGAATATTTCTCCGCGTTTAATTAAATTGAATATTTATAATTATAATTATAATATTAAATATTAGTGTAATTAAAACATTGAAATTAAAGTTCTGTACAAAGTCCTATTGATAATAGTTTCATATGTTCGATATTAACCCTCAACATGTGACACGTATCAAGGATTTAGGACAAAGCTTTGTTACCCAGACAACATGACGTCTAAAATCAGGGCGTAAGATATCCTTAAGACGTCCTAAAAGACGTCTCACGTCCCGATTAGACGTTATGTTGTCTGGGTAACAGCTACTGTTATTGCGGATCGACAATGGTATCATTTTTGCGCAAATTATATACACGTCTCGTTACAATGTCACGCAAATAGCCGAAGAGATATCTTTTCTCATCAGACTGCACGCGTGCGCGCGCAGGTAAGCCGCGCGGTTACTGTGTCGCGCAATGATTGTGATGTAAAGTACCTCCATAATGCACGGCTGATTATTGTAATAGAGTCAAGACGGATGTTCTTCCTAGATTTATTTCACAGAACCTTCGTGTGATGTTAGGTAGGTCACGATACTATGTCTCAGCGCTTTACCGTGTAGTCGCTGAGAGAAGTGACCCATTGCTTTCCCTGTAAAAGTGAAGAGCTAAATCAGGTTGACTCTTTCTCTCCGCTCTGTATGGTCGGGTCCCGACCAATGTCACATCAGTATGTGCGCACCAAGTTCGCTTTTACCTCTTCGCCAAAGCGTGGAGTGGGTAGCTGGGGGTATAAAACGGAAAACAAGCGCTTTTGCGAGCCAATATGTGTGTAGTTTTATTTTGGTGAACAACAGAGATCCGTTAGTTCTTGTCTGGTTGATATTGAGTTATCGTTGACACGAGGCGACAATCACCATGCTGCTAGTAAGTAGGCACTAAATAATATCATCTATTTTATCATATGCTATTATATTTCGCTACCTTGTAACTTCGAAGAAAAAATCATTCATGTCACTCTGTTTTTCTAAAGTTCTCACTTGAATTCTCATTAATTAAAAGAATCCGCATAAAATTATAAATCTTCAGATTTCTGAAATTTTAACTTCACTCGTAAGACTAACACTAAGGGATACGTCATTTTTAATTTTATGTAAATTTATATAAATTGGTTCCTCACAAAATAATAATTTTTTTTAGAGTGCAGTGATAATTTGTTGTATCGTCATTGTGAACGCAGAGTCATCTCTCAACAGTACGTATTGATAAGAAAGTCTCGTTATTGCTCGCCACGCACATTTATTCCTCTAAGATCTGCAATTAAAAAGTAAACAAGCTCACGCGCGTTTCTCTTAATTATGGCGAGATACCTTGTAATTGTTGAAGAATCGCTTTATTGCAGGCTACTCTCTCACTGGCGATAACAATGGGTACGATTACGGTAGCACCGATTACAATAACGCCGACTACAGTAGCACCGTAGTCGCTAATAACGGATACTTAGGATCCAAGGATAGCTACTTAAATGGTGGAAATTTTTACAATGACAGAGATACCGGTTACAAATTATCCAATCACGTCGGTAGCCATTCGTTGATTAACGGCGGTAATCAAGGTAATATAGGGAGTGACATGGCAAGCAGTTACAGCAAGTATCCCACGAACGATCACGGAAGCGATTACTCTGGCTATTCCAAAACTTACGAGAATCCCGACGGTGACTCTTACTCCTTATCGAATCACGCAGCGTCTAACCCGTTCAAAGGATATTCCGGTTTCACCAGTAACGTAGAGCATGGCTTTAATGCGTATTCGGGTGGTTCCGTTCAAAAGGACTCCGATTTCGGCCAGTACACCGCTGGTAGTAACAGTAACAGTCAAAGAATACCCGCCTACTCTGCACACAATAAACCGACCATGTTGGAAAATTATTCGGAGGATACCGCCGATAGCGACGTACGTGCGCAAGGATATCACGGTTTCTCCGGCATTTCGAGCTACTCCGAGAGTGATCACATCTACCCCCCTTATCCGCCAGCTGGCGAGTATCCGTTTGGAAAGCAGAAAGACGGCCTGTACAGTAACTTGAAAGGTGGGAACAAGTACAACGATATCCACTCGATGTCGACCGCGACGCGTTACACGCGTGGAAATGCGGGACACTCGAGCCATAATCATGGTGCTTCATCGCTGTACCTGTCCAGTTCCGGGCCGAGCGGCCACTTATCCAAGACGCACGGCTCCGGTGTCTACTACTCCACGGGGAAACCGTATAAATACGGTTACAAGTACTCGTCTCGCTACGCTCCGAATAGCGGCATAACGTATCTGACGCGGGAGCGAGACAGTCATTATACTCCGTACGGCAAGGGTAGTGGAAAAGTCATAATAATTAAGGATAGCAGACCGAGTTACGCGAATATGTACTCCGACTCGCCCTACATCGGCGCTCCCGGTGGTTACAGAAGCAAGAGCAGCGGTTTCATGAGCGCTTATTCCTCTTCGCCGAATTTTGACAGATACGGCGGCACCAGTAGTAATTACGACGACGGCTCCATCATCCCTAGGCGATTCAGGGCGAGCGGTGGGCCCATGATCTTGCAAAAGACTGTCTATTCTTGAGACATGTATCTTGTGAACGTAAGATATCATATTTAATAGGTATAATGCGCAGAGATTTTGTATATATATTTATTTTATAAATGCCTTCTCTCTCACACATATAAGAATTGATTCGATGCGTCATTCAGAATAAAGATGCCGTTCGATCCTTTGTAAATGTTGAAATTGGCGTTTTCATTGTTTTTCCCTTCCAAGATATTTGAATAATTGTAATGTAATAATTGTAGTGGCATTTAAAATATTTTTATTATTTACATTTGGAAACATCGTGTGTGATATTATTACTTGTAAATGTGCTTTTGATCTACTTACTTGCTCTTCGCCAAGAATGCTTCGTGCAATAAATTAAGTTATTCTATGATTTTCTATAAATAGTTTTATGATTTTTATCTAATAGAACTAACATTTTAGTAGCACTTGTTAATTAGAATCTTCGATATTCATCTAATCACGGAGGTGTTCTCGATATCTTAGGCTTTGCCAAAAATGCCTCTTCTTCTTTAGCGAGTTCTAAGTCATTTTTCCATGAGTTATCGTTAAGTGCATTGCTATCGTAGTTATTAGCATTCCTATAAGCAATGCTACTGCTAAATATAGATTTATAGAAATCAACAAATAAGCAGAAGCATTATTAACAAGCAACAAACATATAATTTATTTAATGTTATAATTCGATATAAAAATATATAAATTACCATCATACGAAGAATATGTGTGTATCAAAATTAAATAATATAAAATTTGTGTGCTTCGCCGATACAAATAAATATTCGACAGCTGTGTAAGAAGCACATTTTAATGTGAATACGTGAAGTATTACTCACAGTGATGCTATGCTGCTGCATTTTTCCCCTTCTATAAAAATTAAATTCAAAAGTAGTGATTCGATTCTTGGATGAAAAATTTATTAATTCACCCGTTCTGAATTATTTTTATTCTTCACGATAAAATTTGGCGTTCATTAACACGTTCCGTGCCACGGCAATTTTTGAAGATTTTCCATTCAGGCCGCGTGGGGCGTATACGACCCACACTTTAAAGATTAAAAAAAGTCGTAAACGCTGTATACGTGATGTGAAGTTGTCTATATTTGACTCTACAATAAATTTTTTAAGAATTCTTTGTTTTTCAATGAGAATTGCAAATGGCCTGAACGGAAAGTGCAGTGGTGGTCGTATACGCCCCACATGACACGGAACGTGTTAATCAGTCAATATATTTTAAACTTCCTCTTCATTTAACGCGAAACGTTTTCTAAATAGCCCCAATGACCTTATAATGCATTATCTGGCTAGTTAATATTTATCTAAGCTTCCATCACTTTCGTTTACGTGCTCCAATTTTCCCAAGGCCCTGCACGTGCAGGGAAAGCCACGAGCCTTTCACTGAATGTAACTCGCGAATTATTCTTTTAATGTGCCAAGTTCATCTTTATAAGTCAGTGTCGCGTTACGAAATGACGGAGAGACACATATTTCAAACATATAATTATTCGGTTAACATTTTCAAATGCGATATGCATACCTACGATACGTACCTATTGTTTGACTATTTTCGCGACCGGATGCAAGAGTCATAGAAGATGTCATTACAGTTTCACTGCTGTCCCTGTAAAATGATGTTTGTTAGTTGTAAAATATATACGAGCCAAATGAATCATATACGAGATTTTATATCAAATCATTTTTGCCTCAATAAGTTCTAATTAATTAATAACGCACTTGGAAGATTGGTTTTCGTATAAATAAATTGTGTCGTTGGAGAAGGAAGTTATTTCTCTGGAGGTATTTTGTTTAAAAGCATGCACTACTTTTGAGGACACTTTTTCTGATTTCATTTCCTCGAATCTTTTATCACGTGATATTTTTATGTTATTCTTAATTTCTGATTCGCGTAATTCTAATTGATTTTCAAGTTGGTATCGGTCGTAGTTCTTTTTGTCTGTGGCGTTAAATGGCCAAACCGTATTTTTTAATAAATCTAAATTTCCATTTTGTCTTCTATATACTTGACTCTTGTATTTTGTAATGAAGGAAAACTCGGTATCAATGAAACTTTTCGTGATACTTGGAACTTTATCCGCGGGAAGCGATTTTCCATTCGCTTTGTACGCGATAATTTTCTGTTCCTTGAAAATATTATCGATTATACTATACGAGATTTACCTACAACAATAATCACAAATGTATTACAAACGTTATACCTTCAGGGAGGAATTCGATAAGTTTGTTTCTTGTTTAATCGTTAAGGCTGCTTGTTTCGTATAACTTTCTTTCGCCAACATATTTCTTTTCACCTCGACGCTACGCCTATTGTGTATTATTTGTTTATTGTTGTATTATTAGTTTATTATGTGTTTTTTTTTATTTAATATTATATCAATTATATATATGTATTTACGCGATACATATGGCATTAAGAAAAAAAATTTACATTTATTCATTCATCCCATCCTATTTTGAAATTTTCTACATGTGAATACCTTAGCACAGGATATGACGGACGGCCAGTACATAAATGATTATTCTGTTGATCATTGTAAAAATCAATAGAATTTAACGTAGATATTTTCTGTAGTGTCGTATCAACAGTTATAACATCTTCAGGAATCTTTGAGGAAACGCTGTAACACATCTGAAGCAAAGTCTCTCCGTTTAATTCACCGACATTTTTCAGCGGATCATTCTCGTCTAACTCGCTTTCCAATACATCCCGCTCTTCCTACGGAAATTTTCCGTTGCTCAGAACTTCAAACAGTACTCGCATCGGGAAACCACATTGTACTTACATTATCATCATCATCTGCGGTCTCCTCGTTTTGCGGTGTATTGACGTTTTCGCGTCTCTGCATCTTCAATACGTGATCTAGATGCTTTCTGTCGTATCAAAGATCATCAGAAAGGAAAGAAAAAATGTTGTGTCCCAACTCGCGTTTACAAGTACGAATATTTTAAGTATTAAAGTATAAATTTACAGTCTCGGCAGAAAGTAAATCAAGTACAAATGGTACGAAGTAGGCACACTTATAGGCACACTTCAACGCGATTATTTTTCTCACATCATATTGAAAAAAAACTGCTTATTCATCAAAATGTTCATATTTCATCGGCATATTTACCTTATCTCTGCAGTTTTCAAATTACCACCGATATAATCCGACATATTCAAACGTTTTATTTTCTTCGCTTCCTCATTGATCACGGGATTGCTCAAGAAATTTTTTAGCGTTTCGTTAATATATTGCACCGACTAGCATGAAGAACATCAAAATTTATATTAATTCATGTAAAGATTTTTCACATTAAGATAAGATTTTGTCTGTGTGTATTCGCGTTAAATAGGCACATTGTTACTTTACTCACAGGCGTGTGATCTATTGAGAGTAGAATGAGTAAAGTGGACACGAGCAGCGAAGAGATCTTCGCTGCCCTGGCATGAGCTAAGCGATGTAACGACAGGTTCATCAAAAGCGCGGTAGCGTAGTCGAGTCTGTATAAATTCATGACGCGACAATTGTCGTGTAGGTGACTGATCAACCATTCCAGCAGTCCGCTTTCTATCATGTATATCCGTTGCTGTCTGCGTAAAGATAGTTTCTGTAACATCGCCATCAACATATCGCACGCGAAAGGATCCACTCCGTCGGCATAGTTATTGTCGAGACAAGTGAAGGTCTGAAGAATACCGAGAATTATAATTTCTATCGACATGACGTCTTCCAATATTACAAGCTTATGTATTTATACAGCAGCATACCGCGTTCACGACAGTGGAGCCGACCGATAAGTAGTCTCTTCCACATCTAAAGGACGCCAGTGTGTTTAGCAATCGTGCGATAAACTGTTGCAAAAGATGCCTGGCGTAAGCCTCTCCCGCAGTCAGCAGACACGGCAGAAGTTGTTTGCTGTTGTCGCTAGCAATTTGTCCATGAAGTCCCAGCAAATCGTGACTCATATATTCATGCAGGACCTCGTCCCGCACTGCAGACTGTGCGAACGTTATTTTCTACAATATATATATAAGTGTTGTTTAAAGATGGCTGATATCATCTCTTCGAATATCGATCTTCTTCATACCCAACGCAACGCTTGTAATAGCAACAACTTTGTTTTCACATCCCCGTTAAGTAGATGTAACTTGATCTTCTTGAAGTCCAATAATTTTGAAGGTACCGGTGCAGTCGTGATATCAAATGTTGATGGCCTTTTGTCCGTGTACAGGCGATTACTATGTCCGCGTTGCGGCAAAGACGTCTGCGGAAAATAGTGAAAAGTTAGAAAACGGGTATAAGAACAGTAATAAAAAAAAAAAGATGTCAGAATCTTATTTACGCAAGAAAAATCTCTTATATTCTGATTAAATATTTCCGGGTGTATGTTCAAGCAAGTCTCGAGCGTTTGTTGTATATCGACAGTTCGGTCTGTCACCGAATTCTCCAGCGCGGCCGTCAATACCCCAGCGACGTTTATCACTTTATTATAGTCTGCATGCAGCTTGTGAAATCTCAACTTCAGCTTCTCATAATTCATATGAATACTGTATAGGTGGTTTCTTGTAAATACTAATTCCTGATTGCGTTGAATCAATTTTCTGTCTTGTTTGTACATCCGTGATAAACTGTCAGTACTCTCTCCCAAATCGGACTTATATTCTCGTAAATTGTCGAACGTAATTTGGTCGCCGGTGATGTGCGTTTGAGTACCACTGTGGGTAAATAATAATGCACGAGTCATTTCAATTTGTCGATTAAACTCGCATATACGTCCATTACCTTGATTTTAGACTACAGTTGATTTTGTGGTCAAAACTGTACTGCTCCTCGTCATTGTTTTCTAGAAATATGGGTATATCTCTGTCGTTTGCCACAATCGGGATGTTATCCTTTGTAGTTTTATCTTGCTCCGACTCCGCAACTTTTATCGCTGACACAGTCGTACAAACTTGAGGTAGATTTTGTGGTTGCATTTTATTGTAGCTCATGTTACTTAAATTAGTCAAGTCCTGTAAATTTCGTAAAGTTCATAATTTTAAGCGGACACATCTCTTGGAGAATATAAATTTAAATTAACAGTTTGAGTTTATTCACTTGTCTATGATCTGCAACAAATAAATCGAGATTTCTGGATAGCTCATTCAACCAATGCGGCTCTAATATTTTGGAGAAAAGAGTATTCGCATGAAGATCCTTTGTAAATGGTAGCGCGTAAAACGGTTGTAATTCCATATCATATTCTAATTCCTTGCCATCTCCACTCAAGTAATCTTGCAGCTGTTTCATGCTGTTATTTATATTTTTTTCGATTGCAGTTCCATTGTTCTGTTTATTATTAATAAGATCCTCAGGCTAATTGCTTTCAAAATAATTCACATAACATATGTGTACAATACATTAATAAATTACATTTATAATTCTATATAATTATAAATGCTTCAGAAATTTAAATATAATAATAGAGAATTTCGCAGAAAGTTATGTAAAATATATATAGATGTAAATTTCTTTTACATAATTTGGTCACAAGAAAATATATGTTACCTTTTCGTGATTTTCTAAAAAAATATCTGTTAAAGACAATCTCAGCGTATTTATTTGTGATCCTGTTAGCTCTAATTTATGACAGAAATATGAAATGTTACATAAAGCACATAAAATATATTGTGTGATAATATAGTATGGTTTTTCTTACCATTTTCTTTATATTCATATGCATATAGTTTACTTATAGGTAGAATAGCAAAATACACGTGTAAATAAAATGTTAATTTTTTATATTCTTTACGTTGTTTAGTACTGTCAGAGAACATGTCATTCCATAACTAAAAATATAAGATACAACGGTTAATTATTATATAGTATATATACTATCTAAGAAATTCATAAATTCCAGATTTTTTACTTGAAAAAATGTTGAATAATCTCCAATATTGTAACACAGTTTTAATTGAGCATATGGATCAGTAAAATCTCTTAATTTGTATTCAAAATTCTGAAAACCCATTTTTGATGCTTCTTGAATCAAAGTTTCAGCTGTACTCTCCAAATTATGATCCACAAGAAACTATAAAAGGAAAAGAGAAACAATACATTCAGTATAAATTTAAAACATTTGATATTGAGTTAAATCTTGTTACCTGATGAATTACTTCAATGTTTCTGTCAGCCATTTGGTCTTTCATGGATAACTTGACACATGCTCTGTTCTCTCTGGAAATATTGTTATCGCTGCAGAAATCCCGATAAAACTATAAAACTAAGTACATAAATAATTTCTGTGTACTTTACGAAATAACCTAGTGCGTTCAATTAGTATCCATTTACTTTGCTTACTCCACTGACATTGTTGTTCAGTTCACTTCGGCATAGTTGGAGCTTTCAGCGGGTTTTTGTCTCTCGTTCACCCCATAAATGTGTCAGTTTAAGCCGTTAATTGATTTTATGCAAATATAATATTGATCAACATACAGCACCTTCAAGTAACAGCAGCGTATATTCGAATCGTCGCGACTCTGATACTCACGAATAAAATTGGCATTTATTAAATATTAGTACGGAGGTCGAGATATGTTGCCATAGGCGATTTTTGTTATGACGTTCTGGCATTCGTAGATACTGTGGAATTGGTAATTTGCCATCACCATGTGATCCGAGGAAGAAAACAATTGTTTAACGTTTGCGTATAATACGGCTGAGCTTCTGCTAGCTGTCACGCCAGTAGCTCGCTTTTCTCACGCACGCGCACGCATCCATACAGTCTCTACAGATGTCGAGTTGTTTACATTAGCGTTCATTGATCCATAACATCGTCTTTTGGAGGATTAAAGCACAATTGGCGCTATTTATACTTTCGAGCGACTGTAGAAATGACGGAAGATCAATGTTTCTCGCTGCACGATGCGGTTGTCTCAGAGGTTTATTTCTTATATTATCCTGAGTCACACCATTCAGAGGTTATGTTTCGTTAAAAGAATACTTGTTTATATGAATCACAGATATCTGACACTGCGTGTTATATACCGAATTTTATCACCGAGGAAGAAGAGAGACAGATCATAAAGTGTGTAAATAACGTACCATTACCAAAGTGGACACAACTGAGCAACCGTAGATTGCAGAATTGGGGTGGTATGCCGCATCCCAAGGGGATGATAGCAGAAGAGATTCCTAGTGTAGGTAAACAGGATGTGAAATGCCTTTAGAATCAATTTAAAAACAGAAAAAGCTGTGAATTCACATATTACTTTTCAGAATACCATTCATATTTAACATTTATGGTAAAAAAATTCTTTATATATTAATCAAAACAAAAATTGCTAATTTTTTAGTGGCTTCAAAAGTATATTAATAAAGTGAAAGCTTTGAATGTCTTTGAAAATGGAGTATCACCTAATCACGTTTTAATTAATGAATATTTGTCTGGGCAAGGAATTATGGTATGTTGAAGATAGCAAGTATTTAGTTCTTTTATTCATGTATAAATTATATTTATCTGCGTTAGTCAGTAGAAAATGTAGAAATTTGTACATTCACACCGAGAATAGTAATGCAATATTTTCGCCAGGCACACTCAGATGGCCCGCTCTTTTACCCTGTTGTAACTACCATCAGTTGCGGTTCTCATACTTTCCTTGACTTTTATAAACGGCTTGATACAATAGAGGTAGATACTGCAATATACAATAAAAAAGGTAACTATATAATACATGCCTCTATATAACATGTGTTACTCTTGTAGCAACAGCAATCAAAATTGGAATTTAGTTTGCTACTGGAACCCAGAAGTCTGTTAGTTCTCCAGAAAGATCTGTACCATAATTACTTGCATTCTATAGCAGAGAGAGATTCTGATAATATAGCAAAATCATCGATAAAAAATTTGCATATGTGTGCGAGAAACTTTAGAGAGGGAGAGATAGTAAAACGTGGTACTAGATTATCCTTGACTATTAGACACGTTCCAAAGACTAGCAAAATGAAGTTGAAAATTTTTTGATATGTTTTATGTACGTTATTGAAATTTTTAAAGAATACATTTGTATCTGATAACGGCACAAAATGTTGCTAATATGTTGTGTTTTTATTATTATCAATTCTAATCTACTTAGAATAAACTTACTTCATGAATTCTGTTTGGCAGATGTTTGTACATCCATCTCTTCAAAATTCTCAAGGCTCACGTCCATTACTTCTTCCTCACACTCGTCCAACATTCCTTGTAAAGAATGTATAGACGATATTAGAACATGGAATTGTTTGCGGCGCATTTCTAATTTGTGCTCTACCTGTTCTGATTTTTCCTGTAAATGAAAAATTCCAAATGTAACGTATGTAACTATGTCATAGAGTGAATTTATACACACGTCAAATCAATATTTAGATATATCATCAAACCTTTAAACTGCCTAACTCTTCTCTCAATGTGGCGAGCTTGACGTCAGTTTCCAGTCGGTCCGGCTGTTCATTGATAACTTTGGCTAACACATCGTACTCTATTCTATTTTTTCTGACACGTTTGGCATCCTGCAATTCCGCCTTCGTCGTTTCTATCTCTTTCTTAGCCTCCTCAATCTGTACCTCAATTTCTTTGGACAGTTTTTCATAACTCTGTAGCTCTTCTCGACTCATATTCGAAACTAGTCTGGATTTTTTCTGTGCAAATTCACATTGCGCCAACTGTGATAGCATTCTTTCATGCAGTGTGTTATCCACGTCAGAATTGTTGATCCATTTTATGAATGACTTCAACAACATATTAATTCTACGATCATCTCCTGTGCCATCACCGTCTATGAGTAGTCTTCGACGTATTACGTCTTCTGCAAATTCGATTTTATGATTATAAAAATAATCATATATTCTTCAGATAAAATATATATTACGTTCATATATATTTTTCCTGTTAATGATCTATTGAATGAAAAAACAACACAGTTACAGTAATAATTTCTTAATTGTCTTCATTGTTTTCATATAATGTTGATAATAGTAAGTTAAATTGTATTGTTTAACAAATGTTACGTACCATCAATCATCTTTATAATTATAATCTAGTGTATTTATAATCTAGCAAATAATACTTGACGCGATGTAGACAATACGGTTTCACTGATCAGACACTCAGACACGACTGAAGAGACTTTAATGAAGACCAGTGCTGCCACACAAGGCAGTCGGAAGTGGATACCTTGATAAGTCACTAGTTAGTGCATACCGGTAACATACCGGCTATTTAAAAAAAAGTTCCATTTAAATATTAAACTTACCACTTAAAACTTACATATAGACTTTCAAGTTTAAGAAATTAAATTTCAGAGTTCAAATTTTAAAACATTTTAATATAAAAATAAAATGTAGTAATATGTTACGATTGAATATAATAATTGTTCATTTTTTTTGTAAAGTAACTTTTTTAATTCACATCTTTAACTTGGTTTTTGAAAATAAATCTTTGCATTTTTCTCCTTCATATAATATTATATTTTGACCTCTTTCTATAACTACATGCGAGACAGCATGATGGTACGCCTACGTAGTACACATTAATTCTTATATGTATATTAAATACAATTTACACTTCATAACATCGCCATTATCGTAAAAATGATTTATAACGCTCGAGAATATATATAATATTTCATCTTCCTCATCACACAAAAAATAATACGTTATGTCTATATATCTCTGGTATCTAATACATTAAGATCATTGGTCCCACATACGGGTCTTCTTTCTCTCTTTCTCTTCTCAAATATATAATATTTGCAACATATATTATGACATCTACAACTTAAACTTATTACACTCTTCTTGTATTTTAACGTTTCTCTGCTGGTACTTTTTAACTTAAGGAAAAAGAAAAAGGAAAAAAAATAATCTCCGAAAACAGAAAAAGAGTTCTACACTTGTGAACTTCGTTCGTAAAGTCAGGTACATCTCAAATAAACTTGGTAATAGTCATCTCTTTTGCGGGGCTGTAAATTTTTTTTTATATTACAAAACATCATTGTTCGTTGTGGTTATTATAGACCATTAGAACAGAATTCATAACAGAGTTCGTCGAGTCAACAGTATTATTAGATCAGAGGCTAGTGAATATTGTGAAATAGTCACCGAGTTGAAGTCGATATACTTCACGCGGTTCCATTCTGAACCGCGTGCATTGGTCCCTTTACAAAACGATAATTGGTCATTTTTAACTGTTATAGTCCCTAAAGATGCACCTTGCATGTACATGGGCTCTGAATATATGTTTTTACACATCTGTATTTTTCTTGATTACATTATTTTTGATGTGTAAAGATACTTCAAATTAGTTTTACCTGACGTCAACAGTAATCAATAATCATACTGACGATCTATGAAGATATTTCACGGCAGTTGGCAGAATTTGTCAATTAATCCTCTATAGATTATGTGAATCAACGAACCAATTTTGAACTTTTGCAAACGCTCTTTTGTAAAGTAAGTTATTATCGGTGTGCCGTCCAACGAAACTGGCGCGATATTGGGATTACCGTCGATATTCTCGAGGAACTCTGTTATTCGAGGAAGATCGTTCGTCGTTTTTCCACATCTTAAATACAGCCTGTATAAACTGGCCATTAAGATTGTGGCTTACAAGCGTGCTTCGTGAAAGTTCAGGATTTGTGTTACGATTGAGAGGGTTTCTTGCGTCTTCCGAACAGATTGCTCAATACGGAACTTCGCTTGTAGTCACGATCTTTCCGATTACTGCCGGTGCTGTGTTCGCTTTCCGATCCGCTCTCTGACGCTCTTCTACCATCTACTACTGTGATGTTGGGTGATGTTTGAGGAGCCGCTGGTGGTGCGACGTAAGGCGGTAACGATGCCGGTCTGCCGGTGAACGTGTTGTTCTGCTGCTGCATACCCTGTAAAAAAATGTGGCATCGAGTCCATTATTCGGGTTTATAAACAAAAGATAGCGTCAGATCAGCGATGTGCAAGTGAAGAGAGTAAAACTTACCTGTCGGACGTTTATCGGTACATTTCCGTATGCTGCAACAGAAGAAAGATACGATGAAATTTTCCGGTTTGTTGATTTTACGTAACAAGTTGATGCGAGACATTTAGTTATAAAATTCAAATATACGAATGTGCCATTGTTATCGCACGCTAATTAGCTATATACAATTGTTATTGCCGACCACATGAATTGCAGAGTTAGTACCTGTTAAAGAATCAAAATATGAATATATCAGCAGAACGTAATGTTAAATTGTAATCTTTCGAGTACATATAAGTAGCGAAATCTGTTAGTATTGGTATTACATGAGATACATGTGTATGTGTGTATCGGATGAAAACATATACATATAAATGTGTAATTTTCAGCGCTTCAGTTTTGCATTCCTTGCTAAATCATCTTTATAGATGCACAAGAGATTTTTTCGCTAAAATGCCGATAGATGGGCGATGAAAGCAAAAACGTAGATGGTTGCATGCGACTTTCGCATTATCGATCATGAGATGCGAATGCTCTCTAATGACTGACCAGAATCATGAGGAGTGTTCCATTGAGACATTCTAGTCGGCGGAGGGGCGCTCGATGGCAGAGGGGGTGCTAATTCTATAAAATGATGATGAGTGTTCACGTGTTCACGGTCGAGAATACTCCTAGGACCTTCTCTAAGACCTATCGATTTATGTTACGTAATGTTCTCGTACCTTGATGTTGCGTAGAGAGCTCAACGCTGCTCTGTCGATGCCATCCCTCGTTCGGCGGATACTGCCCAGACCCATTGTGATTTAATGTCGCGCTACGTTGTTGGTAGACGTTAGGTCTTCCTTGTTGCAAATGATGTTCCACATCTGCGCAAAGCGTTTCACAGAAATTAATTGTTATCGAATTACAGATTACTACAACTTATAGTGATACTCAAAATACATACGCACATATTTAAACGCATATATCTCTCCTCTTTCTACTATCTGTGCATCTTTATCAGACCAATTAATGCATAAAAATAGCTTTAAAAGGGGAAAAAAATAATATATTCATATTTGTAATATTGTGTATACGTGTTTCTCAACTTCGTTTCAAATTAACATTTATTATTATTTAGTTAGTGAAATAAATGTATGGGAATGTGATTTTGCTTGTTAAATACTAAATTTACGAATGATGCGTCATTAAAAATACAATTACATCATAAATTCTTATTAGAACCTTAAATTCGTATAGGTGCGTACCATTACGTCGATATTGCACCATATTTTCTGAACTCGGTGTTCGCATAGGGACAGGCGGGGGGGCGCCTCTCGGTGGTATAGGTGGCTTGTCGGTGCCCAGCATCGCGGAATTCTGCTGATATTGGTCTTTCTGGGCCGCCAGTTGCTCTTGTTGTATCAGCTGCTGCTGTTGCTGCTGCGCGAGCAACTGCTGCTGTCTGTGCATCTGCAGAAACTCCGTTTGGGTCTGCGGCTCGGACCTCTGCGACGCCAGGAATTCGGCATTCTGCATGTCATTGCGTTGCTGTTGATTCTGCCGGTGTTTCTGCAGAAACTCGATCTGCACCGAGCTCGGCGAATGCTGGTTCGCCGCAGGGTCGCGTCTGATGACGGAATTTTTCCTCTCCATCTCAGGTGTGGAAGCGTGGCTACTTCCGGTCGACACGTTATCGTCCGCGTTATCCACCGTGTTTTGCAGCCTATCCATGCCTTCTTGCTGCTTTTCAATTTGAGAAATAGGGAATGTAAGAATTTCAATTTACAGTTCTGGTTTCGTGGTATTTCAAGATAACGATCAGAGATCCAGATAACGTGTGAACGATTAAAATAATCATCGAGGAAGATTAAAATTATTCTATTTGTTTATCGCAAACCTTCTGGGATTCGTCATAGCTCAGGAGTTGCAGGCTTGGCGGTAGTTTCGCGTGGAACGAAATTTTATTAACCCAATCTTCCATCTCCTGTTGGCTCGGCGCTAAGAACAAGAATTCCGAGCCGTCCGTGCACTTTAGGCGAAATACGTTCTTCTTCTTCGTGTAATCGTCCGCTTTCTCACATATAGCGTTAAAAATGGTAATTGGGGCGGTGGCCGCTTTGCTTAACGAGAAATCTTCTATGTCCTTGAAGAAGCACAGCAGTTGTCCGCATAGCACTGGAATGATCGAAAGATAAAAGTAAGCTTGCAAGTGAGACTTTACGTGTGTTTAATCACGCGAACACGATTCATTACCGGTGTAATATTGTTTCCACGACCGCACGGCGGCCTTCTTGCCGGCGCTTTGGAGCTCGTGCTTCCGTTCGAGGAGACCTTGAATTTCAACCGGCCGTAGGGCGTCCATGTTCTCCATTCGCTGCAGTTTCCTGAAGCTTTGCGTTCTTCGTCTGGTCGTGAAGCTCGGAGTCCGTTTCGGCTTCTTCGTATCAACTTTCATGCTCTCGGCTCTCTTGATATCCGAAGTCGCTGAAAAAAGTCCAATTCGTCGTCGAGCAATCAATTCTAACTTTTTTTTTTCTTTTTCATATTACAAATGTCATACGATCTAATAATTAATTATTATTAATTAGGATTATTAAACCTACCTCGTCTTAATTTTTCGCCAAACATATGCGATATGCCGTGCGGTTTCTGAGGTGTCGCAGGTTCTGCTGTTTCGGAAGCAGTAGCACCCTTTAACGGTGATAATCTGATAAACAAGATGGTGTCATTAATTTATATAATTCTGTAGATAATTATAATTTTTTTGTAATATCAACTTAAAAATATTAAAGTTTATCGCTCGAAATATAGCTGAACATTTAGAATTTTACGCTGTAATCTTAATTTTCACTCACATATTCACAGATTCATGCTCGTCGACGGAGCCATTAACTTCGTCGTGTTGCGTGCGATGAGAGCTGTCCAGCAGTCGTCTACGCTCCTCTTCGCGTTTACGTTCTTCGGTTATCCTCTGCACCTCTTTGCGTTTCCGTTCCTCGATTCTCGCACGTTCCACACGCTCCTTCTCCGCTTGGCGAGCTGCGATTTCCGCCTCTTGTTGCTTTTGGAAGGCTTTTTCAAGCTGCACGAATATTTATGGTGTTAAACATTGCATGCTTACACTAAGAATAACCGAGCAACCCGGTAAACACTAATGGAAAGATGATAAAAATAATCGAGCATTACCATTGTTATCCGCCTAAGTGCGCAGAATCTGTCCTCCTGCGCCTCTATAGTCTTCTCGAAGTCATCGTGCTTCCTTATTAATTCCTCCACTTGCGATATGCTCTCTCCGAATTTTCCGTCCTGCAGCATCGGCTCCCTGCTGAGTATCCAGTTCTCCAGGGTCTCAGCGTCCCTCTTGAACAGTTGTGTGTCCAGGTTTTGTTCGTAAATCAGTCTCCGTTGCTGCCACGTGTCCTTCAGGATCTGCTGGCGTTGCTGCAGTACCGATATCTTGTCCTCGATCTCCTTCGCCAAGAAATGCCCTTGCTCAATCAGCTCTTGCCCGGTCCTGTAGAACTTCTCGAAGGCCTCCTGGCGCGTGTCGATCTCCGACTTGTACTCGTTGTGCCTGGAGATCAGCGCCTCGGCGCCGGGAACGTCTCGTGCCAACTCCGGTGCCGTCACCTTGGCCACCATCTCGTTTATCCAGGACATCAGCTCCCTGTACTCGCCCAAGTAGGCCTGTAATTGTTCGGCTTGCGCCAGTTTACTTCCTCTCTGCGCCGCTTTCTCCAGTAACTCGCCCCAGGCGGTTTCCGCTTCCTGGTGCTTCACATCGATGTGTATACGCGCGTCCGGGAACAGCTCGATTAGCCTGGACGCTTCCTCCATCAAGCACTCCGCTTGTTCCTTCACGGCCGCCAGGTCGGTCTCGAATCCTTGGTGCTTCCTCACCAACGCCTGAATCGTCTCCAGATCGTGGCCGTAGCCGTCTGAACTGAGGTTTGCTTCCTTCTCTTGTATCCAAGAGATCGTCTCGTCGGCCGTCCTGTCGAACATGTGGACCTGCTTGGCACCCGCCAACGCCTCTTGCCGAGCGTTCGCTAATTCCTTCAGGTCTTCCCACTGTTGCTTCGTCTCGTCGATTTTCAAGAGTATCTTGTTCTTCTCGGGGTTGTTCTGTTCTATCAGTCGCTGACCCGCCTCGAGTACGGCCGACACGCGGCCTTCGCTGGTCGTCAAGCCGGCTAAGAAGTTATCGAATATCTGGATCAGCAGTTCCACGTGCTCGACGTCGCGACCGTAGTCCTCCGACGCAGCGACCGTTGTCTGGTCTCCGATCCATTCGATCACCTCGTCAGCCTGTCTGATAAATTTGTAGAACTTCTCGCTCTCCGACAATCTCTGCAGTCGATGTTCCTTCAGTTTCTGCAGCTCCTTGAATTTCGTCTCGATGTCCGCCTGTTTCTGTGCGATATTCTTGCTGTCGAAGTGGTGCCTCTCTACTAGGCCTTGCGAAAGCTTCTTCAGGTTGTCGACCGTATGCTCGAAACCGGACAAGTCGCGCTCGATGCCCTCTAGCTTCTTCAACAAAGACTGAACGGAGTCTTCGTCCTTGCCGTAATCGGTGGACGTCAGCTGCGGATGCTTCTCCCTAATCCACTGTTCAGCTTCCGCGGCTTCCGCGTAGAACATTTGCGACTCCACAGCGTCGAGTAATCTCAGTTTCCTGACACTCGCCAGATCTCGCAGGTGCGACAGCTTGACCTGCAACTCCTGCGACAACTTTTCGATCTTGTCCGCCGCGAAATGTCCACTTCTGATCATCACGGTCGCTCTGCTGACCAAAGAAGCCACGACAGGCTCCCTGGACAACAGTTCCGCCTCCAAGGCATGGTGTTTCTTCTGCAATCGTTGCACCGTAGTCAGGGAGCTTCCCAAATCGTTGCTGGCGGCCAACGGTTCCTTCTCCGACAGCCAATGCAGCTCGTGCTCAACGTCCCTTGCGAATTGATGCAGTAACTTCGCGTCTTCCAGATTATCCCTGCGTATCTGTATCGGTTCCTGAAGACTGTGGTATCTGTTGATCGTAACTAACGCCCTCTCCTGAATCTCGTCGCACATGAAGTGGTTCGATTTCTGGAAGCTAGCGGCGGTCTCCTTGATGTATTCGCACGCCTCGTTGTGCCCGAGCACGTCATTCTCCAGGTTGGTGTGTCTCTTCAGCAGATTCGCTACGCTCGAGAGATCCTTGCCGTGATCTTCCGATTGCAACTGAGTCTCCACCTCATCCATCCACGTCTCGAACTCGTCCAGACTGCGGCCGAACAGCAAGGCCTGATACGCGTCGTTTAGCCGGTTCTTCTTCAGCTCGCTAGTCTCCTGTAAGAGACGCCACTCCCCCTCCAAGTCGTCCAAACGCTCCTGTATCTCTTTCGAGGCGTAGTGGTTCTCCTCGATGAGCGCCTCGCCTTCGTTGACCACCGCGCTGATTCTGCCCTTGTTCGCCACCAGCTCGCTCTCGAACGCGGCGTGCTTCTGAATTTTGCTCTGCAAGTTCGAGGAGTCCCTGTAATTCTCGTCGCTCGCCACCTGCTGCTTCTGGTGCAACCAGCCTTCCACTTCGTATATGTTCCTGAGAAACTGGTGCAAGTGATGGCTCTCCAGCAGCTTCCTCCTCCTGGCCGTCGCGCTGTTCTTCAACTTGTCCCTTCTGTTGCAGACCGAGGTGAGCCGTTGCTTTATTATGCTCGCATCCGCGTGCTGCTGCGACAGGATATCGTTGGCGAACTTCTCAAGTTCCTCGATGCGTCCCATTTGAGACGCCAACATCTTCTCGAATTCCTCGTGCTTACGCAGCAACGCCTCGACGCCCGACAGCGAATCGCCGAGGTCGTCGTTGTTGAGGAACGCCTCCTTTGTCGCCAGCCAGCTGTCAGCATGATCGGCTTGTTCCTTGAATAGCTGCAATTGATGCGCCTGTGTCAATTTCTGCCTGCGATCATCCCACGCGCGCACCAAGGTTTGCCGGAGCTTCTCCAAGTGCTCGAGATTGTCCTTGACGTCCTCGTCGTCGATCGACAGCAGCTTCTGGCCGTGCTCCTTCAAACCTTTGAATATGTCCCGTCGACCGTCGATCTCCGCCTTCCTCTCTTGGTGCAGCTCCAGCACAGCTTCAGCTTCGGATATGGTGGTCGGCGGCTCGGACTCGTCCATGCGTTTGATGGTGTCGGCCACCCAAATGTCCAATTCGTGCAGATCGGCTTGGAACTTGTGCAACGTGTACGCTCGATTCAGAGCGTCACGGCGGTGTCGAGTCAGACGTTGCAGATCGTCCCAGTTGGATTGCAGTTCGGACAATATCCCGTTTATTTGCGGAGCCTTGTCCGGATACTTGTGCGACAAGTTACGCGCCTCCGTTCGGTGCTCCTTCAGTTTACCCTCTATAGCAGTCATGTCCCGTTCCATGGCCTCTTGCTTCCTCTGCAGCTGCTCGACGGCGGGTAAGTCCTTCCCCGTGTCGCTCGTGTTCATCGCCACCGATTTCTCGATGACTCTTTGGCTCGTGTCGTCGATATCCCGGTTGAACAGGTGGATCTCCAACGCACCCGCCAACGTCTCGCGATACGTGCTCAACGCGCCCTGCAGGCCTTTCCACTTATTGTTGAAGTTATCGCGACGTTGTTGGATCGTTTTCGACTCGTTGTCGCGACCCTGCTTTATAAGCTTATCCGCCAGAGCGTTGATCGTTTTTATCCTGGAATCGTCCACCCGCATGTCGCTGTCCACGTCGTCGAGTTTCCTCTGGAGGCTCAAGCAGTGCTCGTAATCTTTGCCAGTATCGCCGGCTTGAACCATCATCTCCTTGTCCCGGATCCAGGCCTCGATCTTCTCCACTTGATTGTTAAATTCCAAGATGTCCTGGGCCTCCTCTAAACCTCTGCCCCGATTTCCAGACTCGAGCAGTAATTTCCTCCAAGACGCGTGCAGGTGTTCCAGTTGCTGGCGGATCTCCGCGCTCGCCGGGTGCTTCCGCGCCAATAACGTCTCCCCTTTCGCCCTGATCTCCTCGATTCTGCTCTGGTTCGCCGCCAGCTCCGCTTGGAACGCCTGGTGTTTCTGCAGTTTCTTGATCTTATCCTCCAGACTGGACACCTCACCCTTCGACGCCTCCGCTTCGAGTTTCTTCTGCTTCTCGCCTATCCAAGACTCAGCCTCGCCCACGTCCCTCACGAATTGCGCGTGCAACAGGCTGGCCTCGAGCCGCCTCCTTCGCGCGTCGCACAAGTCCCGGATCCTCGTCCGTCTTTGCACCACTTCGCTCAGCCGTCTGCCGATGGTCGGCGAGTCGAAGTGATTCTGCGCCAGCAGCTTGTCCCCGTGCTCCTGCAGAGCCGTCAGCTTCTCCTCGTGCGTGACCAGCAGCTTCTCGAATTCGTTGTGCTTCTTCACCTGCGCGTCAACTTCTTCAACCGAAACCCCGAAGTTGTCGCCGCTCAGCGCGGCCTCCTGCGTGCTGGACAGATTGTCCAGCTGCTTGGCGTCTCGCAGGAAGAAGTGCAGGTCGATCAGTTGGTCCAAGTGCACCTTCTTCTGCTGCCAAGCGGTGTGCAGTTTTTGCCGCTCGTCCAACAGCTGATTACACTTCTCCTCGACCTCCTATGAGACACACCGTAATCATTGGTAGATGAACGTGTGAGAGTGAACTATGTAGATGGGTCGACTTACTGTAGCGGCATAGTGACCAGTCTGCACCATCGCCTCCCCGAGGTCCAGCACCGAGCTGAAGCTGCTCTCCCTCGCTTCGATCTCTCCTTTCAGAGCCTCGTGCTCCGCCTTCAATGTCTGCGCGCTGGCCGCGTCTCGAACCTTCTCCTCCGTCGACATCGTAGCGCGCAGTCCCGCCGCCCAGTTCATCAAGTCTCTAACCTGAGAGTTCCTCTCGTTAGTCGAAGGCGCGTGAAACGTTAAATACCAACGACGGGAGACAAGATCTGATACCTGAGTGAGGAATCGCTGCAGGTCGCAGCTGGCCTGCAATTGATCTCTCCGATGAGCAGACCTTTCCTTCAGCTCCTCCCAATGATCAACGACGATATGCTGTTGTTGTTGAATGTGCACTGCGTTGTTGCCGGGATAATGAGCTTGCAGTCTGGACGCGTCCTCCACCAAGACCTGCAGCTGAGCTTCCAAAGCGACCAGGTCGTTTTCGAAGCCCTCGTGCCGCCTGATCAACGCCAGAACGGAATTCAAATCGCGACCCAGATCTTCCGGCAATGCAGCCTCCTTCTCTTGTATCCGCGACAGCGCGTCCGCCACGTCGCGGTGAAACCGGTGGATCTCGCCCGCCGCTTGTAACCGCTGCTCACGATTTCGAATGAGACCCAGCAAGTGTTGCCATGATTCTCTGATAAAAAAAAAAAAATAGTACATGAGATTATTAATTAACAATTATCCCGGAAGTTCGAGTCTCGATCGAGGAAAACTACTCGATCTTACAAGTCTTAAAATTATAAAAAGCTCAGAGAGAAGTTTCAGAAAACTTAAGAGATAAGAATCCAACGTACCAGGTTTCAAAAATTAACAGTCATGCGTAAAAATGAGAGGTGAATACCTTCAAATTGTGATGCGATAAAACTTGCATACAAACTCATCAATGTACGTGTACGAATTAGTCCAAGTAATTAAACGTGTACTCACTGCGTTATCGCGTGTTGCTTTCGTACTTGAAGCACCGGATCGTCTTCGTCGTGTCTGTGTTGAACGTGCGTTGAAAGAATGTTAGTGTCCCAACACCGAGAATAGATAAGTAGATTTATATATACCAAGAATATTAAAAAGTTCAGCTTGATTTTCTACGTTCTTCGACCACCTTTTATGACAAAGAGATATACGGATATTTTGGCGAATTATAGACAACGACAGTTTATAACGACAACGATAGTTTCGTTGATGAATTCGTTCATCACCACGTGCAATGAAATCGAATTTGACCTAAAAATCAAATCGAACTTTTTCACTCATCCATTACATGGTAACTCTCTACCCTTACATTAACTTATACCCCTTGCACCATCTTGTTAATTTACTACGTGCAAGTGAGCGAGGTACCGACGTTCTATGAAGACGATAAAGGGATACTTAAATATCAGAAATGAAGATAATCAAAGAAGGAAAGGATCTTCTCATAGCCATAAATTTACCCCAATTGCTCTTGACGTTTCTCGATGTCCTGAATGTAAGGGCTCTCATTCGCGATGAGTTTTCTAGCCAGGTCCTCGCATTGGTTGAATCTCTCCGAGCCAGCTTCTATTCGATGCTTGAAATCGTTGAATTTCGCTTGCAGTATCAGCAGATGCTCGTAATCCTGCCCGTAGTCCTCCGACGCGGCCGCCTGTTCCTGCTCTTTGATCCATTGCTCCAATTCCCTGCTCTCCAGGAAGTATTCGTGGCGGTACATGCTCTCCATCAAACGTTGCTGCCTCACGGTAGCCAGTCGTTGCAGGGCGCGCATTTGCTGGACGATCGCTTGCTGCTTATTCGCTATCGCCTTGCTGTCGGGATGCTTCGAGTTTATCATCGTGGCAGCGGTGTGTCCCATTTCCGTCACGATACCGTTGTACGTGTCCAATTCGAGCTCCACAGCCTGCAAATAGCGAAAAATTAAGAATCACAATCCTCTGGGAAAAATTCGACGAACGTAAACGAGATTTTATCGAACGTATATCTATAAATTCGCGTTGAAATTAGAAAGAAATTTGGAAGAACATCTCTCTTCGTTTCGTCAATACTGTATTTCTACGCATAGAAGTACCTTGTGCTTCGTCAATAGTTTCGTGGCGGCGTCACGATCTCTGCCATAGTCGGTGGAGCTCAGCACGTCGTTCTTCTCGTTGAGCCAGCTCTCGACCTCGCCAGCTTCGAAGAAGAACTCCTGCGCTTTTAGGGACAAGTCCAACGCTCTGCTACGGTCTCCTGCCTTATCTTGCAAGTCCTTCCATGCGTCATCCAGAACATCGCACAGTTCTTGGATCTGGTCAAAGCATACGCGACCAATTACTCTCCGTCCTCCAATAGCTCTATTATATTAATGATTAATAAAATAACTCGTCGCTGACGCTGCTTTCGGAAGCTCAGTTGTTCGGCACGAAATATATCGATGATGCTGATACCGCCGCTCAGAGAGTATTGCTGCTGTGGCAAAAGTATCAGCTTACGTCTTGCATGCAACACATAGGCTACACATCTTTTCTACACAATCTTTCGCGATTCTTGATACTTATTGACTGAGGTATTTAAACAAAGAGGTAAAATTAAGAAGCTTGTTGCAACTAAAATTGCACCATGTATTAGTGTGATTGATCTTACATTCTTGTAACTTGAAAGATACGAGCTACAAAATTGGGTGTAATTTTAACGAATGAATTATATTTGAAATACTCGTTCAGTTGGTACGCCTGTGTAAAACAACGAAAAACATTTTGATATAGACGACTCTCGACTCGGCAGAAACTTCTTTCATCAAACTTGAAAGTTGAAAGAAAATTAATGTAAAGTTTTATTATGCAATTACGTAAATTTACATGAAAGATCGCTGAAAAAAGTTTCCGCGCCTCAAGGGTCAACAAATAACACACAAAAGTAGTCTCTGGAATTAAAAGGAAAAAAAAAAAAGAATTACACACTACAGCCTCTGTTAACCCTATAAAAATAATTATTTGTTAATTACGTGAGATCGGACGTGATCGCGAGCGTATAATCAACAGAGAAAAGCGATAGGCATTTCTTTTTTTTTTGGCAACATTTTCCATGCATCTGTGTCCACCTTACCTCTGTAGACCCAGTACTCTTCAGAACGCTCCAGCTGTGCAAAAATCATAATTTCTTACTCCAGTCTCGCGTGAGCTAAATCGTCATCGTGCGAGTTCGCGAGAGAAAAAGAAACCGATCGTTTCGCAAAGGAGCTCTCGTGATTTACCTTCTTTCTCTCCGGATGAGCCTGGTCGATGAGCGTCTGCCCGGAAGCCAGAGTCTTGTCTATCATGGGCTGGTGGCCGGCGATCTCCGCCTCTAGCTTCTTGTGCTTCTTGTGCAAGGTCTGCGCCTGGTGCAGGTTCTGTCCGAGAGTCGTCGAGGACGCTTGCGGCAAGTGGTCCTTGATCCACTGCAGCTCCGCATCTAGCTCGAAACCAAACTTGTGGAAACGCAGACTCTCTTCGAGCGCTTCTCGTCGTCTCTTAGCCGGCTCTTTCAGGCTACGGAATCTGTGAGAGCACACGATGAATTTTACACCATTTTATATCCATTTCTCAACGACAAAATCGCTTGTTAACAGGATTGGGTAAATGAATTTTTATTTTTAATTAAGTTAACAGTTAATAGCTTGCAAAATTAACTTAGTTAAGTTAAAGGTTACGTAGAAAGGAAATTAATTGAAACAAAAGTTAAATTAATATTAAGTTGTTAAGATTAAAAGTTTCATTAACTTTTTAACTCGACTTTTAACCGAATAACTAGTTATTACCCAACTCTTTATTGAACGATTAGTTCGGTCATCTGGTTTAAATATCAACGGATGGGTCAGTTTCAACGTACTTCTTTTGTGTGGCTTGACTGCTCTTCAGGATGTTCGCCGCATCGAAATGACCCTCATGCGCCATCTCTTGACCCATGGCCACGAGGTCGTCCACTTTCTGCTCCCACTGGCACATGTCGGTCTCGAGGGTCTGGTGTTTCTTCAGCAACTCCTTGCAGCTGCGCAGGTCCGCGCCGACTTGCTTGCTCTGCAAACAGCTCTCGATCTCCTCGAGCTTCAGCCTAGCGTCTTCCATGGTGCGATTGTAGCCATGTTGTGAAGCGGCTTGTCGTAGCCTGCGACCTTTCTCCAGTGACAACGCCACCAGCTGGTCCCACTGGTTATTCAGGTCCTTCAACGTTTCTCCGACATCGTCCGATCTGTAATTCTCCTCGGATATCAGCGCCTTGCCGGCCTTGTTGACCGCTCTCAGTTGTCCTTCGTTGGCGCGCAGTTCCCGTTCGAAGGCCTCGTGCTTCTGCAGTTTCCGCTCGAGATTGTTCAAATCGCGATAACTTTCGTCGGCCGCGGTCTTCATTTTGTCACCCAACCAGTCGCGCAAGTCATCCACTTCGGCTGAGAATTGCTGGTAATGCTCGGACGCTTTCAAGGCTGCTCTCCGGCGCTGAGCGGCGTCTTTCACCGCCATGCGACGCGCTAATACTTGATTTCTTCTCTCGTTGATGCTAGATAGAAATTACATTTGTATCAGCCGGTATCGACGCGAAATCGAGTTTCTTTAACGTGTCAAGGTGAGGCTACGAGTGAGATCTGACTGAAGAAGATCCGACCAAATTGCGAGTTCGATCCGCCTTGATACTTACTAATCCTTGTCATAGTGATTTTGCGCGATCAATTTGTCCGCAGTGTCGCTGAACGCCTTCAACCTGTCATCTTGCGCGTGCAGAGTATTCTCGAACTTGCCGTGTTGCTTTAACAACGCCTCCACGTCGTCCAGAGATTCCCCCAAGTCGGTGAACTCGAGGAAAGCCTCGTGCGAGCTGGTAGTGGCTTCGATTTGATCTGCCTCTCGGTTAAATTGCTGCAACTCCAAGCATTGCCGCAGCCATTCTTCTTTTGCTATCCAGTCGGACATCACGGTTGGATATAATCCGTTCAGCTTGTCCAGACGTTCGCGTACGTCCGCCAGGCTCGAGTTCCGACGCAACAGTTGGTTACCGAGCTCTTCGACTTCACGGAATCTGCAAATGCAACGATTCTTGCCTAAGCGAATTGATTAATGACATAAACTCTTCACACTGTCAATGAATTATTAACATCTGAAGAATAGATTTGATCTGTACGCATATCTTGTGGAATTTTTCGGAAAGAGTGATCGCAAAGTGATGGCATAAACCACCTACTCGTCTTCTTTGGTACGTATTTCTTCTCCGAGTTCCATGTGCTGTTTCTTGAGCTGCTCGGCCGTAGCGACGTCTCTGACTGGCTCCTCGGCCTTCATCGTTTCTTGTATGTCCGTGGCCCAGTTGATCAGGTTCTTCGAGCTGTTCATGAATATCTGTTGACCGACCGCGTCCTCCAAACGGGATCTCCGCTCTTTAGCCTTCGTCTGGACTTTATTCCAAAGCTCCTTAATCTCATTTTGTCTTGCATTCACGTTATTAAGTTCGTGTGGGTACGAATTCTTGACGCTGTTCGCCAACAAGTCTACTTTCCGCACCTGTAAAAATAGAGTTAGTGTCTGTTCGCACGATTTGCTGATCGCGACGATTAGTGATCAAGAAATAACTCACTTTCTCCTCGACTGGCGCCAGTTCTCGCTCCAGATGCTGATGCCTCCTCTGCAGAGCCTGTACAGTCTTCAGATCCGGTCCCAGCTCGGCCGTGTCCAGCTGGGTAATCTTCTCCAGCATCCAATCGTGAGCCTCGTCGCAGGTTCTGTTGAACAGCTCGACGCTGGACGCGCCCTCCAAGCTCTTCTCCTTCTGCGTCTTCAACCAGTTCAGGTGATCCCACAGCTGGTGTATGTGCTTCTGCCTGGCTTTGACTTTGTCCAGCTGACTGTGCCCTTGACGAACAAATTCATCCACCGCGGTATCTATAGCCTCCACTCGTTTCCCCGAGGCCGACAGGTCCGTAAGGAACTTCTCGTACTTTCTCCTCGCCGTCTCGACGTTGTCGCGAGGATCGTCGACCCTCAGCATCTTCTCCTTGTCCTTGATCCACTTCTCGAAGTCGTCGCATTCCCGGTAAAAGCCGTAAAGCCTGATGGCGTCCTCCAACAACGCGTGGCGCTTCACGGCGAGCTCCTGCAGCTCGCCGTAGGTGTCGTTGATCTTCTTCTGCCGCTTCTCCACGCTGTCGCCGTCGCTCACTGTCTTCCGCTTGATCGGCTTCACGGTGGACTTGATGGACTTCAGTCGCCGGACCGGCACTACCTGTTTCACCATCTTCGTCTTCTTTACACGCTGAGTCACCTTGACTTTCTCGGGCCTTCGTACTTGCACTTGCACGATCTTCGGCTCGATCTCGCGGACGTAGTTGGCCGGCACGAATCCGTCCGTACCGTCGGCCTTCCTCACGCTCCACCAATCGGGGTTCGTCTTGTTCATCAGGAACATCACCTCACCCTTAACCATATGCATACCTTGGCCGCTGAATGGATACAAGCTCTTCACCTGCGGCACTAACCTGTCCTCGTGAACGGTTTTCGACTCCAGTCGTTCGACCACCTCGTCCACCCACTCGTCTTGCGGCACCAGCCTGACTTCCTTGCTCCACTCTTCTTGCTCGAGCTCGGCAACCGGTTCCGGATCGGCGGACAGCTCCAAAGTGGAGATTCCGGATTTGATGAGTTTCTCCGCCTGGGTGTTTAGCGACTGCACGTCGCCTTTGTAGGCGTTCAGCTCGCCCTCCAAGTCCTTGTGCCTTTGCAGCAAGGCCTGAGCGCTCGGCTCGTCCACTCCGTAGTCCTCCGAAGCGACGAGCGCCATTTTCTCGTTCATCCACGAATCGGCCTCGTTCGCGTCGGCGTAAAACTGGAATGTCTCGGCCGCGTCGTCCAACTGCTTCTTCCTCAACGCCGCGAGCTCTTCCAGGACCCTCCAGTGTTCCTGCAGCGAATCTATTCGGTTCTGTATTTCCAGCGCCGACGAGTGGTTGTCGGCTATCAGCTTCCTGCCGGCGTCGCAGAGCTGCTCGGACTTGGGCCTGCGCACCTTCATCTCATCCTGGAGAGCCTTGTGCTTCTGCTGCAACGAGATCACCGCTCGCAGGTCCTTGGCAGATATACCGGCCTTGCAGATCCGCTGTTTCTCGACCAGCCAGGACTCTTCGTCCTCGTGGTCTTGCAGGAAGTGAAAGAAGTTCCGGGCGTCCTCCAGCCGTGCCTTGCGCTCTTTACTGTTCTCCAACAGCTCGTCGTAGGCGCTGTTCAGCAGTTCGAGCTTCTGTCGCAGCAGAGGCACCTCTTTGCTCTGCGGCTGCGCCAGGTGTTGAGCCGCCTGTCTGCCGAGCCTCCTCTGACTCTCGCCCAACGCTGTCACCTGCAACTCTTGCAGACTGTGCTTCTGCAGCAGGTCCTCCACTCCCAGTAGATGCGGGCCCACGTCGGTGCTCTGGAAGTTCAGTTGGAGCTCTTGGATCGAGGCCAGCGTCGTCTCGATCTCCCGCATCAGGCTCATCAGCGAGCACAGGGCGACCAGATTCGACTTGTGATGGTCCAGTAGAGCCAGCAGCTCCTTCCATCTCTGCAACACCTCCTGCTCCCTGCTGCGGACTCTCTCTAGGCCGTGGTAATTTTCACGGACCAGCTCCTCGGACATGTTCGTCAAGTCGTGGAAGCGTTCCTCGCGCGCCAATATGTCGGCGCTGATGGCCTCGTGCTTCTTCACCGTGGCGTCCACCTGTGCCAGGTTGCTGCCGTACCTCGGGTCCGTCAGCACCTGGATCATCTCCTTCAGGTAGCCCTCCCTCAGCACGCTCTTCCGTTCGAACTTGTAGTTGAGCTGCTCGAGCCTCTCTTGCCGCAGCAATTCGGTCCTCAGGGCGACCTCCCGACGGTGCTCCGCTCTCTCCAGCTCTACCCAGTTCCTCTCGATGTCGTGGATCAGCTGTCCCTCTTGCGGAGTGAACGCCGGCTGGTTCAGGGACTTCAGCTGAGTGTTTATGTGGAAGTACAGCGCTTCTATCTCCGATCGTTCCTTGTACTTCGGCGGCTTCTCCACCGTGCGGTATTGCTTGAAGGCCAGCAGCTCCCGTTGGATACCCTCGAGGGAATTCGGGAAACTACGGCTCTCCAGCACCTCGATCTTCATCTTGATCCATTCCAGCAGGTCGGTCGTCAGCTTCTCGTAGTGGATCTTCATCTTGTCAGCATCCATCATCTGGCCGACGATCTGTGAATACGAATTAACGCGCGGTTGAGTCAAGTTACGCCGAATATACACTGTGTGTGTACACGCACGATGGATGATAATTTCCCGAGCGACCCGTACGTACATTCGCTATTCTCTTGCCGCTCTTTATCTCGTTCTTCATCCTGGCGAAGGTGTGGTAGTAAGACGCGACGTAGGTGATAATCGACTTCTCGTCGGGCCTGGCGGTGTCCACGTCTTCCGCGTCCAGCAGCCGCGGTATGCCGAGTTCCGTGTTCGCAACGTCGAAGGCATAATTGAGATTATCGATGTTTCTGTTCTGTTGCAACTCCGACCAAGTGACCAGGTCCGGTCTGTGAGCGTGTATGAGGGCGTTGAAACCAAGACCGCTCCTCCAGGACCCTGTTCGCCAAAGAGAGAAAGAAAGAAAGATATTTTAAACTCTCCTCTTACATCCCTATGTATAATTTAACTTTCTCTGACAAAATATACAACTCTCTCTTATTCATAAACTATTAATCTCAGTCTTGCCGTGCGAATCTACCAACGAGGAAATATCGCGTACGAAATACGTGCGTGAAATTATGCTGAGTATTTTCTGTATTTACAAATATCAGATGTTTCCCTTGGGGTTTCCTTGCGACACTCGAAAATCTGAAATATTCATGCCGCGTGTAATCGTATGCGGAAACCCGACTTACCGGTGAAGTCTTGAATGTTGACGCCGGGATAGCCATTCGTCTTCCTCTGACACCAGAGTAACAGAGCATCTTTGGCAGACTTCTTCTCGCTGCTGTCGTTCTCCTCGTCCACGTCGATCTCGATCTCTTGAATTTGGAATCGCAGAATGATGGTCCAGATGAGACCGAGGATCAGCCTGGGATTACCGTCCACGATATCCTCCGCGCCGATACTCTCGAGACGGACCTGCGAAAATGCGATTTTTCAGATTGGAATGCCGAGAGAAGCGCCACGTATTTACTATTCGTCGCGTCGAAATTCTCCACGAAAATATTTCTATATCACCTTAACGTTTACGAACTTTCACTTTCGAAAGTAGAATGTTTTTTTTATTAATATTTCGTATTTTTATACTATACAGCAAAAAAAAACATTTTGTACCTGTGTTAAAATCGGTCCTCGTTAAAAAATGTTTGTGTCAAATTTTTCACCTGTCTGTGTTTCAATTTAACATATTTATGTTATCTCACACGATAAGAAATGTTGAATTTAACACATTTCACATGTGCCACTTTTCAACATATCTTGTGTTAAGTTAACGCAAAAATTTGTACGGACACGTTTGGAACATGTGAAATGCGTTAAGTTTAACACTTTGAAAATTGTTCAAGCTTGTTTATTTCTTCTCTCCTCCCTTGAAAATATCTCTCGCGGCGTTTGCGTTAACACAGTAACATTTCCAGGTTTCTCCACCTTGGGACCTTGTCATTCCAGTGTGCTACACGACGCTATGTACACGGCGAGATCTCGCGAGTTCCTTCGCGGGAGAGACTCATCGGCCGGTGAGTGAATAATGCGCCCGTATAATTTATGCGACAGGTATCGGTACGCTCCGCGTTCGCATGATTATTCGCATTCCGATCTGTTGCACGTCCGCCGGGCTTGCGATGGTGAATGCAGGGTTACGTAAATAACAGGTCTCACTAACGCATGAGTAATTTTGTAATAATAGGCAAGGAACGCCGCGTGATCGATTTCGAATCGACGATCGGCGAATTTCGTCGCTTTTCTTGCGACACCTGAGTCGTCACGATTGCATCTCGATGAACCGCGAAACGACCGGTCCGCGCATCAGAAGACCGTTCCACGGCGTGTGTAAATTCGATCCGCGCGGCGTTGTATTCGGTAATTGGGTGTTATTGCACGCGGTTCTTGCCGAGGAACGAATACAAACACCCATGCTGAATGCGCCCGTGCCCAGAGAGAGGATCCTGTTAATTTTACTTAAGTCACGACGCGACGGTTACGAAATTTATTTTCGGCCATTAATTCCCGAGCGTGCGCGCGCAAAAGGCCCGTCCGCCGCATCGACGGCGGCGGAAGTAATTATGCGACCGCGCCGTGTAATGAATTACGGCCGCGGTGTATTTAATAATTGCATTTTATTCCGCGTGATCGAGGAGAGGAGAGGTGCGCGCCCGATGCGCGGAACGGCCGGAGAAACTTTTCTCGGCCGACCCCCCTCCCCCCGGACGGCCTCGCTTTCGTGTTTTACGGCCTTGCGCGGATCGTGATTATTCAAAGTAATAAAGCGACCGTTACATTAAGTCTGAGTCGAACGGCACGATATTCCACAACACGTGTGTTCCCCGACGCGTAAGCGAAGGATGTCGCCCGTGAAATGCAGTCCGCGGGAACGGCAAAGCCGATTAACCGTGGACTCGGTCGACGGGCGGAGAAATTAGGAAGCGAGGTCGAGCTTTCGAGATAGGTACACGCATATTCTCTCTCTTTCTTTTGCCTCTGTCGTTTGATAAGATTCTAAATGTGACAGTTAATGGCTCGACTGAGCGCTCAGCAGCGTCGAGAGGCGTCGTGAGGCGGTCGTGAATCTCCTCCGGTGTCCGGTAAAATTACACTCGCGCGCGGAACCGCCGACGGCGACGAGCCGCGCTGCGTGTCACTACATTACGGTTTACTCGGCCGTAATAGGGTCTTATTGATAACGCAACGTTTGTTACTCGCAATCGGCGGCGCGCCGCCACCGGTGCTGCCGGTGTCGCTATTAATAATCACTTGTCGATGGTGAAAGTACCGTGTTAGATCATCGGGCGTACGTATCGTTACCGTTTGTCGAACGTTGCCGCACACTTCCTCGCTGATAGTCGATGCGTTCTTAACGTGCGTCTTAACGACCGCGGACGTGAACTCTGACGACATAATTGCGGGTATCGTGCGTGGGAAACACACGTGGAAGTTAACAGAAAACCGCTCGCTCCTCGGCGGACGGCTTCCTTCCTCTCGGAGGTGTCTGTCCCCTTGTTTTTTTTCTAGCAGACCTCGATGTCAGAGAAGTCATCGGATAAGTAGGAAACACTTGATCTCGTTTTAGCGTTCTTACAGCGAAATCATTTATGAATTCAGCAAAATGATCCAATTAGTATTCTTAACAAATTGTTTCGCTGTCCACAGAATTACTGATCGATTTGGTTGCAAAACAGCACAACATTTGTTGTGCCAGTAAATTATTTTCTTCCGCGCAGACTTCTTCCATGTTTCCTCGAAGGGGGGCAAACTATCGGCCGTATTTGATTCTCGACAGCTTCCAACCGTCAATTCGCTCGTTTGACGATATTAGCCGGCAAATATCGACGGTTCAGTTCGCGCTTCTCGCCGCGCTATTATAGTTAATCGCGCGCGGGGCGCACGCCGACGCTTCCCCGCGCGCGCCCCGGCTGCTGCTGGAATGCCGTCCGATCACTTGTGCCGGTCTATCAAGGCCGCTGGGAAATGGAAATTATGGCGTTTGCCGGCTGACAGCCCCGCGGAATCCAAAACAAAGAGGACGCGTAGCGTCACCGTTAAGCGGCCGAGTGCAGCCCGACGCCGGGGCTACGTCGTCGCGGATGCGAAGTTAACGAGCCAAGTCTGGCCGGTCGCTGGATCATCTTGTCCGACCAGACCGGACTTCCTAGTGTCCCGCAGGCTTTCAGTCGCGTGTTCTCGCCGAGCCTACTTCGCGACGGCCGCTTATCCCAACCCGCTCGCCGACGAGACCGCGCTCGATTTTTCTCTTCCGTCCACGGATGTCCGCGGATACGTGAGAGAATAATCCACGAAGACCGTGGAAACGCGGCCCCACTTGAGCGTCACCGTACCCGGATGTTATCGCAATCGGAGACGGAGTTGGAATCCGCCTCGTTTGTTTCTCTCTCTTTCTCTCTCTCTCTCTCTCGACGCTCTGCCGGGTTGATTTCTTTGTTTCGTCGCCGTATTGACACGTAGATATTGACGAACCCGATGCCGTTCGAGCCGCCGTCGACGCGCAGCGAGGATTATAAACGTCGATTACGAGCCTTTGTCGCCCGCAAATTGCAAAACGCGCTCCTTAACTTTTCATCAGCCACCGCGCAACACACGCGTGATATTCATCAAGGAAAAGCACTTCTGAGCGTCGCTTTATCGCGCGTAATGAGTACCGTGGCTCATAATGAATACTCTCTATGTCCTCTCTCTCTCTCTCTCTCTTTCTCTCCCTTTTCCTGTACTCGCGCGCGCGCTTTTCTCGCAGGAAGAGAAACGAACGAGGGGCGGTCCTCTCAACGGGACAAATAGCGAGACGAGGCGCGTTAGCCTAAGCGGACGCTTCGTCGTATGCAAAAAGAAGAAAAAAGGCATGGAAAAAGGTAACCCTTCCGACGCGTGATTCATCGCGCGCGATAACGGGACGACACGCGCGACTAATGATCTACTTAGGGTTAAACCGCGCGGCGCATTCCCCGTTGTCGCCGTGCAATTTGCAGCTACCGTGCGCATTATGCAGCTCGCTCCGGTAATAATACCGAGCGGCCGATGTGTCTACGAGCGAGCAGTCCGGTAATGACAGAGCTCGGTCTCGCATAACGATGTGCGACATACGCGTTGCTGCAACGATCGGCGGTCCGATCAGCTGACCGAGCCGCGCGCGAGCGCGTGATTAGCCGTGGAATTTTAATGCGATGTGAACGGGGCGTCGCGGAGCAACTCCGAGCGGAGCTGGGCTGAAAAATGCGTTCGGTCAGATCTACCTGAAGGACGGACAACCGAACGCGTTTGGTCGAAGGAAACGAAGGTTCCCACGAACCGAATTTGGCCCTTAGGATCAGATATTCTGCTTCCTTCAACTAAAATGCGTTTGGTTGTCGATGGTCTGGTGGGACTCAACGAATTCGTTTCTCTCAGTGTGAGCGCAGCGAAATAAGGTAGGTAGGAGCGGCGATTTCATATGATTGTGTCTAATCTTCAAAGCTATTACTCTCTCTCTCTCTCTCTCTCTGTGGCCAGTATATATATATAGTCAGTATTCATGGTCTTATATCATTCAGGCATCGTAATCTTGTGTCTAAAATCGTCTTAAGTTCATTTTCAGATGCTACATAGCTAGTGAAATGAGCCGTACAGCATCTGAAGATGAACTTGAAACGATCTTAAATATAAGATCTGTTTATGAGTACTGTCCTAAATATCTTGGAGTGGAGTCTTGTTTAAAACGAGTAAGAAATGGCAGTATTTTCATTCGAAGTGACGGTGAAAATACTGTTCGCCGGAAGCGCAAGAGTGAATGTTTCACTCAAGCTTAGGGGACTCTAAAGTGGATAGCTATAGAGATTCTAATGGGTAGCTTCGAGTGGATTCTGACTCCAAATGAGCGAATGTTCCAATCAGTTGGAGTGAACACATTCCCGTCACAGTGAAATACGTCAGATTTATCCTTCAATTTCGAGTGAAAATACTCACTCGACGATTCAGAGTGGAGAATTGAGAAAAGAGAATGGAATTCGGAGGAGAATTCATTCGAAACGAGTGAAAAGTCGCTCGCGAATTCGAATGACTCGGTGATTACTCTACTTTCCGAGTGAGATTTCACTCCAAGAAATTTAGAGAGTACAAAATAAGTACGTCGGAACGCGCAAATCGTGTTAGATTCAGATGCCATCACGAACTCGGGCAATATTCGAATAGAGTTTAAAATAGCGAGCCATTTGAATTCTTCGTCGCGCGTTGCTTCCGATTTTTTTTTCTACCACCGACTTCTGTCTTGTACAAATTCGATCTTTCCGTTTCAACTCCTACAGCGTGAACTTGACTCGGGACAGGTGTGCCTTTTACTATCTTTTTCATCGTGTCGTATAATCACACGGTGCGCGCACTCGATACAGGGTATTAATTTGTAAGAGATCACCGGTTCTCCGTGCGTGTGAAAATCA